CTTTGTTTGTTTCACAATAGCTTGTTTTATTTCTTGATTGTAGCAAATGTCTAGAGGTACATAAATTCTCTTCAATGAAAAGCTTTGAATTGATAATGCATTTGACTGAAGTGTTGAAATATTATTTAGAAGTAACCTTTGCTATCAAAACCAGTATTTTTCAAGTATTTTAAAACGACAAAATATTGCGCAATATTCTAAATTTTCGAGTCGTATATACTTTGAATAAGGAATGGCTTTGGTTATTTTGGCTTCGGCACTTTGAGTCCATGCCACTAATCTATATACAGTGTAATGCCACTTAATTTTAATATAAAACCTTAGGATTTATAACTTTTTTATATTTGCATTACGTCGCTTTACGTCAACCCATTTACGTCCAATTAAACTGGCTGAAAAAATTGTTACGATTTACGCACAGGCGCACGCAGTTTTTCAATGAAAAACTCAAGAGAAAAGCATCATATTTGCTTCATTGAAAATGAATTAAATCTATTCCGACAAGACGTAGGATACGCCTCGTTTGTTATCACATCATAAAGTTAGCGTAGCATATTATACGATTGCGGTAAGGCAATTTTGAACCATAATAAAAATTTGAAATTGATGTCCAAATAAGGCTACGATTCGACCTTTAGCTCAAAGGCAAAGGGGGGTATATGGTATTAAAGTGCAATAAGATCATTTCTCTGTACCATTGATTGCGTGCTCACAAATCATTACTTGTATAGAGCTTTGTGCTAATAGCGAATTTATTCAAAATAATACAAAATATCGAATACTTCATAGACATAACTTGTATACTGCCTCGCCACTTAAAACAAAAATTAGGAACAAATTTCAAGTGAATAACTAACTATAGCTAACCTGTATTATATATGACGTGTACTTTTCAAATTTCTGATTAATTTTCTTGGATTCCTTCATGGACATAAAAATTTTACGAAACCTCGCACTTATTCCGGGAGTGGTAATAGAGCAAGCTATGCTAATCTCTTTTTCTTATATTAACGACTGAATATTGATATAAATTAAACTACGATTAATGAAATGCTTATCTTTGCATTGTAAATTCAATTTCAAATTTGACCGAACTCTCACATAGTCACGTCCCTAATGCAATTTTCAGCGAACTTATATTCGTCCGAAATTGTAAGAGTCGGAATTCGCCCCTTCTTTCATTTAAAGACATGTAGGCAATGAGATTGGTCCGACTAACTGCTCTGTTAACAATTCCGAATTTATCACTGTTATCAATGCATCTGCAAGATCTTGTCGAATAATTTTACTTATATTTGTAGGGGCATAAAAAATTAGGACCAGCTAATTTTTCATGCATATCTTAAACGAATCGGCCTCATTAATATTAATGCAATAAATTTCAAATTGGCGTAATTTAATTTCACGGAGGCATCCCCATTTATTTACTATACACGATGTACCTTAAAATGCATAACTCACGGTGTTTTATGTTGAAACATGAGGTCTGGAAAGTGAAAAATATGTTGAATGATTTTTATATGAAAATGAAGATTTTAATGAAGAATATAATGGAAAAAAATACGATCTCAAAAGTCAAAGGTCATATAAGAAAGCATTTTTTAAAATACTAATATTTTCACATTTATATATTTTTAAATTCATTTATAAAGATGCAATTCTGCATACTTCAATTTTTATTTTATTATTCGAAAAGTATCAAGTTATCGACTTAGTTTCGGTGAGTCATTCCTAAAGATTTATGGCATTTATCACGAGTGGCTGGCTTTCAAATATTCAAATTTGAAGGCTTAAAAATGGTACCTTACCAATACTTCAGCCCTGTGCCTGTGCTGAATGTCTATAAACTCAGAATGTCCTTTATTTAATAATTTATAACAATTCTATAGTTTATTTCTCGCTTATCTGATAAAATATTCTCATTTACATTTTTTTTCAATTCCCTTCTCAATATTTCATCCATATATTTTTTTTTAAATTTCCGAATTTCGGTAAAAAGAAATACATTTAAATTTTGCTGAACGAATACGAGCTGGAAAAATCCATCTCAAATTAGCGCTTTCTCAATTTATATTAATACATAACAGACTAAATATATTTTTACTGCCGCTCAAAGTCGAAAACAACTTTATTGACTATTAACCTCATAATTTGAATAAGAGAATTTGTCAGCTGTAAATTTGATATTTTTATTGCATGACAAATATATGTGACAAACGAGATCATAACAGGAATTACAATGTTTGCATCGACATAAAATTATAAAATATAAAAACTCAGGAATTACCTATAATGTCAACTTATTTATTTTGTCAATATTTTGTCAAGTTTCTCAATATAACGGTTTATTAGTTTCATTAGTCAGTCAGTTCTTCCGGTAATCGGCCAAAGTAAACTCGAAACAAATTCTGCTTTTACATTTGCAAAGACTTTGTCCCGATTCATTTAGTATTGCATCAATTGTCAATATTTGTCTTATCTGATATCGATCTCCAGTGATTGCGTGTGATTTACTCCTAATGGTACATTTTTAGGATCGTGTTTTGAACAAAAGCATGTATGCATGGTTTGTACACACGTCATACCGTTGATGCTAGTAAATACATACATATATTTGATTGTTTTACGTCACTATAGCGAAATTAAACAAACAATATGGCGAAATGTAAGATTATGTTTAGAGCTTACGAATGTGTTAATCAAGAACTCAATTTAGGCATATGAGCCCATAAATTGTCACATGATTATAGTACCTTCATGCAATTTTTATTTTTGGAATATGAAAATTTATTTTATAATACTACGCATGTTTAAAAGGTTTCAACCAAAATTATTATCCACGATTTATTTAAAAAAACACGCCACTCAGTAATATAAATCCTAAAAACAAATTATGCATGGTCTGCTTCACCGCTGTTACATATGGAGCAGATTTGTGATATAATTAGAATTGAGCCTTTGAAGGAGTATTTCCCCCCATTCACCCATCTGCCTTTGATGAAGAGGCAGCCGCACGTTTTCAATGATCGGGCTTATTTAATATACTACGTTCCCCCCCACGTTCAATGAAGAGATAGCCTCATGTCTTCAGCGATCCGACTAGACCAATATACTACTTTACCTATGCACGTTGGGTGAAGAGATAGCCTATGTCTTCAGCGATTGGGCTAGTTCAATACAGTATACTATTCCCCCCCCCCCCCCCCCAAAAAAATAAAAAATAAAAAATAAATTTGGACTAGTGTCAGTTCGCCAAGTGAGGTGTCGAAGTCGAGTTAACTAGTGTAGGGTACTACTCGGATACTGTCGCGTTCGGGATTGCGCTTTATAAGTGAACCCATTTATTTGTCGGTCGGTTATATCAAATTGTATCAACAGTGGAATTGTTGTTGATATTTTAAATGGAGTATCTTTTTCTCAACCTCAGACTTAGCTAATATATTGCACAGCAATTAGGTAAAAACCATTATCTGCAGACTGACAAATTCTCTCATGGTTTTCTCTGACAGACGATAATTTCTACATATCCTGGTATTTTAAGCGTCAGTTCCGTTAAGTTCTATTTCTTGATGTACATATTCGACTGAAATATCTATACACTTGAACTTGATCATATCTGCGGGTAGCAATTTGGGTGCGTCGACAGACGTCTATTGCAGTCAAATTGACTCAGTTCTCTGTTAAATTTCAAATCTATCGTCGAGTTTATGACACAGCAGACGCGAAAAGTCACGGATGCAGTAATAAAAAGTGGTAAAATTATTGTGATTTGAAGTTAACCGGAACGCCTAATTTTTCTAGAAAACTGAGTATAAAGTTGGCTTTAACCTAACGTGTTGAAAACCGTTTATTTCATCATAGTTATCGTAAAATTTCATTTTCATTCTTACTTTTATTTTAGAGTTCGGTGATGAAAGAAATGGCCGACGTTCTAGAAAGTTGGTTGTTATTCCAGTCTAGCCATTAAGAACCGACTTAGAATTAGGTATTTGAAGTAGTTTAGGCGAATCCGCTTTGTGGTAAGTATACATTCACTCAGAAATAGTTTGTTTAGCAGAACTATTGTGATTTTCGATAAATCAACAAACAAAACTCGGGGGAGCGCATTTGATTATTTAAGAAAATGTCAAACACTAATAAAAATATCATTGAATTGGGCAATATTTAATTGTAAATACTCAGTCAGTATTCACACCTGACATAGCATATAAACTCTCAAGGAAAATGTCTTTTATTTTGCGATTTTATTATATTCGAAACAAGTCTGAGAGGAAAAGAGGACACAGTGAATCAGATGTTGAGACATAAAACCACATTGGTTTTAAACGTGGGTGGTAAAGTCGCAGAGCAAATTCAACTAACGGATGTGCATTGGATTTCATTTTTATCTGTTGATTGACGTTATATCGAATACATATATTGTTTTGATTGCGTATTCTATTCCATGTGGGCAAAATGATTTTTAGATTGCAAAGTTAAAATATTTTTCACAAGTCTAAGTGATTGTAAAAACTTATTTTTGCGATATTTATTCTTTCCAATTTCCTTTCATTCCGATTGACACTTACGTAGCAAGCACATATTATATAATAAATTGGCTGAATACGTCATAGTCTAACATCTGGAATGTTCAGGGGCGCTCCATTTTAAATAAACCCGATACCCATTCAAAAATATCGACATAACGTACAACTCAGGTCTCAGTTTTTGTTACCAATTTTTCTATTCAACACAGCATGGTATATTACCTTTCTTTGGATTGTTTCACTGGTATCCTATACGAGTAATATTTGGACAATTATTAGGCAGCTAATCAGTCAACAGACACAATCATTTTAGTGCATTTAACATGAGCATTCTAAACGAAAAATCTTTTATGTAAGGAGGTTTTATTATTTACAAAAGAAGCAAATTCATTGACAAACAGATCATCAAATATTTTTGAACACAAAATGGATCGTTTTGTTATTATGTTGTTGTTGTGAAAAAAATCGCTAATCGGACTAATTGCTTTGAAAATTTCAATGGTTAAAGCTTGTTGTTATCGCTAGAAGACTATTACTTTTATTTCAAGAATAGCTGTGACTCTATAGATTCGTTTTTCACTACGAAGATTTATGTGATGACGTCATCAAAATTAAAATTTGCATGCCGTGGTTTTGTGATAACATCTCGGTCAGATGGTGGTCAGACTACCGGTACTGTAAAAGATTCCATACCCGTACGGTACTACTTCGTTTTGGCCTCCGTGTTCATATATTTGAGTATTGATCTCTTGTTTTTTTTTTGATAACTTTATTTCTGCCCCCTAATGTAAACTATTGCACTCTGGTTCTTCTTCAATTCCTTGTATGAATATTAGATTGCAAATACGCTTATAAGTAATTAACGAGTGATGCAGTAATTATGACAATAATTTCTTTAACAAGGGGGATTCCGATTTGCTTTGAAATTTTCCAGATTTCTCTGATGTTTGATATAAAGTAAGTTTAAAAATGAGAAATAAAAACAAGCATAATTATGAACGTCCACCAGAGGGCACGGCAGAGTAAAAAAAGTGATCACTAGATGTCGCTCGCAAAATGTCTTTAGTTCCAAAATGGTTTGATGCATATTTAAAATAATAAAGTTTCGTTAGTACATTGCAAATCATTGAATCCATTAGACCAATCATAGTCACAACAACGTTCAGAATCTGTGGTTGATAAATCTCTGCAATGAAAATAATACTTATAAACTTCGTTTTTACTTTAATTTCTCTAAAATTGACATTGTAGAGAATTTAATTTGTTACGTAACCAAAAAGTTTTACCCTGCCAAATTAAAAGAAAACGAGTTGTGGAATATAATATGATGAAGTTGCCACGTATAATAAAAATTTGATTCGAGATGATATACGCTCACTAAATTTGAAAAATCTAATTTAAAAAATGCATTTAAAAAACCAAGCGCTTAATATTCAAGTCCATGCATCTGAAAACAAACAACTGGCTATCTAACTAATCCCATACCCGACACGGACTGGTAACCGGACGAGAGGCCGTGGTTCGCTATATGATTAAGCCGTCCTATCGACTTTCCTCTTCCCGGGATAAATATGTGAATCCTATCCTATCCTATTCATACAAAAATAGATAGTTCTTCATAAAAACGTATACCGGAAAAATGTATAACAACACTTGCATTGAACTTACATTCCTACAGAATCCTCGCAGCAAAGATAAACGTTTTTTTCTTCCGTACAATACCAGCAATCATAGCTTAATATCGTTGTGCAGTTAGGTTGTGGTGGAAGATACAGAAAACCTGTCAAAATGAGTGTGTTATTATATAGTTGTAACATTATTGGTAGACTGCAAACAGAAGAAAAATCATAAAATAGCATTATATAAACTTACCGGCAACGCAAGCATTCAATATACTGACAAATATTCCAGCAATCAATGCTTTGATCACAATTTTAGCCATTTCACTTTGTCGTTCAGGACACATCGAACCTAAAATAATAGATTCATAAAATATTGAATAGTAATAAATTGTTTGAATATTTAGTAAAAATCAGTTGTTGATGAAATCGAAACGGTATAGACTTTGTAAACTGACGTAAAATGAAATTACAATTACAATGTCTGATAGTTGTAAAGTGTGATGTGCAGGCTCGTCCATTGTAATGGGATTCCCGTGGGATTGGACAGAAAAATATGTCTCGCGAACAAGTCTGGCGATCTGTTATCATTTGCGTATGTGTGCGGTGCGCCATGTGTGTTTTAGATGTTTCATGCATCGTGAAAGCACACTTATAGTTTAAGTTTAATAGATAGATAGATTTGTGAATCATCGACCTTCTGAATTTAATACCTATAAAGTGCCATACATAGATAATTAGTAAGTTTGTATATATTGTAAAAATACGAATAAGTATGAGTATTTTTAAAACCCAGTTATTTTAAACCAATGCAGCATCTCATCCTTACCTAGTCCCCCGAGCATGATTCCCAAAGATCCAACATTTGCAAACCCACACAAAGCATAAGTAATAATGGCTTCAGATCTGTCACTGATCCAGTTGACAGTTTCATCATCATTTTCTCTTGGAAATGTCCCGTTATTTTTATTATCAATCAATCGAGCTAATTCCTCATAAGCAATAAATTCATTGAGGAAGATTTTTGTACCCAGTAATTCTGCACACTAAATAAAAAAGTAGAATATCAAAGTAAAAAGGGTGTGAATCAATAGTCAATTTAAAGGTTAATGTTCTTGAAAATCTTACTATTGATTTGACATTCTCACATGTGATGAGGTCGAGGATACAGAATGACTATGATGTATAAAGCGTCGGGATTCGGATCCGGACTCGGATTCGGGTCGAATCCGGGCATTTTTTGGACTCGGATTCGAGTCGAATTCGGGCATTTTTTGGACTCGGATTCGATTTCGAGTCCACGTCGTTTTTACCGAGTCTATAATCAATTCTGTTTTTACTGATTTACGCCTATGTTTGTACTTTTACCCTTATAAATCTCACTACCTACCTTAAATAGTTGAAATTCAAGGTTAGATAGTAATTCTAAATAGTTAATAATTGCTTCATTTGTGAACTAATGAATGAATTATTATTTCGCCGATAATAAATAAATGGAAATAAATAAACGTTAGACATAAATATAAATAAATAGTTGGTATCTATGTGAATTAAGTTGGTATTCAATATGTGAATTAACAAAAAGTAGTATTAATAATTCAATTAAATGAAAACTGAAATATTTACTCAAGTTTCCTTAAATCAAGGAAAATTCAAGATGATTCACAACTAGAAGAAGATAACTGACGTAAAATCTATGTATAGATTTCCCCGTACGGTATTTCGATAGATTATCAAGAGACTTGAAACATTACAAGTTAGATTGCTAGAAAACAGGTACGAGAAAAAAGGAAAAAAAAGGTTTTTGCAAAAATTCAGCTTAGAATTCTTATACAGATGAAAGAGCGTTTTTAGTCCGAGGTTTTTTTCAAAACTATCATTAATCAATGAAATGAAATCAATCAATTAATATTACCTTGAAACAATCTTGCCATTCGATTCCCATCAGGAAGGTGATTGGTAAAAACACATACGAACAAATAAGCTGTACAATAAAATTAAAATAAATCCCATTTTATATTATCCTAATAATAAATGAAAAAACGGTCACGCTTATCATATGGAAAACAGTCGCCAGTTTGCCAGTTAAATATTAACCATTATAACGAAATACCACAAATGCACGATCAAATAAATCGCTGTTCAAATGACTGCATGTACGGAATGACGGCCTAATCACTAATATATGAATGACGTCTTTCAATGTATAGGCTATCAGACAAGTACTTTCAATATTGTTTGTACACCTGCCCAGTTCTAAATATATTGTGATATTAAATAGTAGACCGGATAAGTTTGAGACTTTGAACTTATAAGATAAAGACAACGTTGACGAAAGATTTTATCGGCCCTTATTCTCAGTAATATATAATATGATAATAATAATGTTGCCAGGGTAACTATGTTACTATGATACGTTTTATTTGTTTTCAAATACTAGATTAATTGTGTTCGTCTACTAAAAACTAATACTTTAATATTTTTGATAATTATCTGTGCTACGTCGTTTTAAGCCAAATTTTGGCTTCAGGTTTGGACTTTACTGAACAATATCGAATTGATCGATAACACGAAGTTAAACAAAGGTAAACTGAGAACCAAACAAACTTTGAGAGCTAACAAACTTCTGTTTATTAAAAAATCGTAAAATATTAACAATATTTAAAGCACCTAGTACGATCACTTAAATAACACACACACGCTCATACTCACCTCAAAACTGAGTTGTGGATAATCCATGAGGCCACCGTACCAGCTCAAACCTCCATTTATGGCAGCCAGAAGAGATATAAATGCGATCAAATTCGCGGCAATATTTAAGACCAATGGTAATGCTGAAGATGCTCCAACGAATGCTGCTTCAACAATATTTCTCTGTTCTCTGAAATACAACAATTGATAGTTGAAAGTGTAAAAAGTATTAACATTGGTTTTAATTCCGATGGAAATCTGAGTTTTTTTTTAAAGCTATTATATGTTCTCTGTTTATTAGAAAATTGCCACACTCCTACGATTAGATTCGTTATTCAGAATAAAAATCAACTGCATTACTAAAAATATTGGAAAAAGAAATAGCGTTCGCGAACAAAAATATTTGCTTTGCACTACTCCGTCAAACACTAAGAAGCAATGTGTTGAGAATATATTAAAGGAGGAAATTCACCAAATCCTATTATATATCAATATGTACGTTTTTAATCGCGTTAACCTAAACTGTTTGCCGTGTTAACCAATATTGATTTTACCCTGCGGATTAATTCCAGGAGCTGCTGGGAATCCCCGTGATTTTGGCAAATTTATTTATGAATGATAATTGATTGACTACTGATGAACAACTTTTTCTTGTGAATAAAGTGAATGGTACCTTTTTAAAATACTTACGGTGGGTCGAGTTCAAGACCAGCTAGGGTCGCAAACTTGGACTTCTTTGTTTCGGGATACATTAACTTTCCTATTGCCAGCGCACAAGGTGCCGCCATAACACATGCTGTGATGACATAAACAGCTTGAATCTGAAACCAAATTAAATTGATAGTCACGACAATGTTGTTCAGCACAATTTATCGTAAAATTTTATAAGGTTGTAAAAAATTCTGTGTGATTTTATATTTGAATGATGTTTTCAGCATGTTTGTAATAAAACTAGCGATGTAATAGAACTTGCTTTCGAATAATAATACGAGAGCAATGCTCGCGTGCATTGACCCGAAGTTTAAATGAGTAATACGGCTTCCTCTATGCCAGTAAAATTCCAAACAAATTGTAACGAATGTCACGTAAATGCGTGCCTGTTAATTGAAAAACAAGCACAATTTGTGGTAAAATATTAAGCTCCATTGCCTGCAGAAATAATTTAGAAAACGAAATAAAAATATAGTGAGTGAGTTCTTCCACCTTTAAGCACTGAGAATGTGAAACCGATTGGCCTATCAGTTGTGGAGAAAAAACGTCCAAGTACAACAACAACCTCATCTAGAACAACTAAAACAATTTTGCAAAACGTTCCACGGGTCTACTTCGTGTAAAATAAGAACTGTATTAATTCATTTTGTAACTTGTAAGTTGTGTCAAACGATGTATTTCAGACAATACAATACCGCACCAATAAACGCTACAGATTATTCCGATTAAAAAAGAAAATCAATTCATGCCCAGTATACTATCAAGGTTTGATGATGTCGATGATTTGAACAACAAGAATCGATCACAAAAATGGTAACTTTTAACGAACTTTCAAACACAAACACTTACCCCAAAACCAAGGTATGCACCCAATACGCTACCGGCAATAGTACCAAATCCAGCAGTCATGATCGCAAACAATTCAGATGTTGTTACATCTTTGATATAAGGTCGAATCAACAAAGGAGATTCCGTTTGCCCAACAAATATATTGCCTTAAAATAAAAAGAAAAATGTTACACAAAGAGACGTTAACTTAAATAAGGTATTTATATTGCATGTTTTGTCAGAAGTTACAGGAAAAGTATTCAACATTTGGCAAACCAGTTGCTTGCTTTCCAGTCAAAATTGGGCATGAAAATACCATGTCATGTAATGGTATCATATACATGGACTTGGGTCGAGAATGAAGGCTTCGTTGTTTTAAATGTTTTTAAATGACAGCACTTGACTAGATGTATCGTAGTTTCTTACCAGCAGCACACATAGATTCTGTCGCCGACGTTCCCAATGAAAATTGCATCAACCATGCAATTTTATAAATTAACCACTGCATTGCTCCAAGATAATATAGAATAGAAATAAATGAGCTGAAATATATCACAATCGGAAGCACCTGAAATATAATTATATTTTCAAATACAAAAGTGTAAATAATGTAATAAAGATATGTTCATAGTTTATGTCTTTTCATGTGCACATTTATAACACGTTACCCATTTTTCTTTTTTTTAATAATATATATTTTTAATTTGATTATTATTTTTTTGTTATTAGATATATACTAGAATCATCATATTCGAATCAACAATGAGACGATGTGAGAGCAAAAAAGATGTTATGACGACTGTGTGGTGTTTATTGAATCATGTTTCTGTAAAGCACATCCTTCACCTATTGTACCCAATATTATGTTTTATTTCTGTGTATGATGCTATTTTATATATATATAAATATACATATATAATCAACAAGTCTGGAAAGTAGTGAAACAAGAGCCTAGTTATTTAATTGCCAGAATGTGAATTGATCAATACAATTAGTCACTTGATTACCTTGAAAGCAAAATAATGTTGATAATATAAATCTCCAAAGACAAATATGCTTCCTGCATCTACAAAATCAAGGAATGTCTGAGCAATGTATCCCAGCCAATTAAATGTATCAAATCCAGCTTGTGTTCTCAAAATAAACATGCCCAGTACGATTTGAATTCCAAGACCCCAGAACACCGGCCTCCATCGCACCTGGAAAACAGAATTCGAATTGGAGATGTAAGTGACTCGGTTACGTGTTAGGATGTTTTTTAAAATGGTTGGTGTAGAATCATACGGTTAGGAGTCCATGGGTGTTTCGTCAAGCATTGACGTAACAATAGACGTTTTAGCATCCTATCGGACACTTTTGTCACTAAGATAAATTTTCAGGCATGGTTGTAAACATTACCTCTTTTTCCCGTTTTTTTTGCATTACTTGTTAGTTTTTAGTTGTGTTTCGGAAATTTAATTACGAATCAAATAACCCAAGAATTTTTTTCTTCTTCTCAGGAGTTTTTATTTGATTGCATTTATCAAAAATTAGTTTATAAATGGCTGTGATAGGCTAGGCTAAACAACTCTACTGGTACTTTTAAATAACAGTTTGTTGAATGTTTTGAATCAAAATGATGGTGTGAAGAAATGTACTCAAGTTCAAAGGCGCCAATTTCCGAACCACTCTTAAAATAAACATCAAATATTTTGCAATGATAAAATATAGGAGGAATTTTTCGAGGCACCAAGGTCTGGGAAACATCCATTTTTCTACAAAGCGGTCAATTTACACAGAGTTCGCTGAAAACTGTTTCGGTTGTAAGTGACGGACTATGAAGGATTCATGGTCAAAATTGGTAGCTCTATACTTGATTTTATTGCGACCCATCTTAGCCAAGATGATTTGAATCATTAATAATTTTTCATTCTGACCCCCCCCCCCAAACCTAATTTTTTTGATGAATGATCCGAATTTTCCAGTTACTTCTCCTCGCACTACCCATAAATGCACGTATAAATTCAAGCAGCGTCAGTATTCGCTCATACGTGCAAACCTGATTGTATTCTGTTCATGCGGCTATAAAAGCACTCGTAAAATTTGTTTGTATCCATCACAATATAAATTGGTATCTTGTTAATAGTATTCAAAGCACTTGAAATGATAGATGTGAATCACGATAAACATACGAACCCGTGCTGGGTATTTTGACGCCAAAAACAGACAGAACACAAATACGATGTAACCAGCCATCGATATGAGTTGTTGAGGTCGTTTTGATGTATCTAATGCTATCCAAGTTGCCAACAATCCGAGTAATATCAAAATGCAAACCCTGATTGAATATAAAAAAGTTGTTAACAAAATTAAATCGCTATATATATGTTTAAATGAAATCAATAATCATCAAGTGCGTGCGAAGCGTTACGTTCGCCGCCCATGATTACTCTGTTTATGAATGATTATATTAGAAATAGGAATATCCATAGAATTCTTGTCATTGCAGCATGAGTAACGTAACCGATAATAGTGCTATGACCAGTGGTGGGATTTAATTTTTTTGTCAGCCGGCTCCATCACAGAAGTCATATTTTTCAGCCGGTTCAGTTACAAACAGAACATTGACAGTAACCAGTAATGCTAACCGGTTTGCTGATTTTATAAAATTCCGTGAGAGGGTTCTATAGAACCGGTGCGAACCGGCTGAATCCCACCACTGGCTATGACCTATAAGGCGCCGTGTGAGAAAGTCGTTTCCTTGACTTCACTTTATCCGGGATACCTATAAGAAGCTATCTATGAAAATAAACAGCGCATCGGCTAATTTCTATTCTATACTGAACTCAATGCTGAACTGGTATTCGACCATTTGAAAGATAGCAGTTTTTTACATGTCAGTGGCTGTCTAGCTGTTAGGAACGAAAATTGTCGAGAACAATTTTGGCTATTTGGTTGCCGTCCTAAACACAATAACCTCATAAAAATGTATTTCTTCCCCAAAGTTCTATTTCGCATAAAAAAAATTCAATTCAAGATTTAAAAGTCACATTATTTTCACCCACCATTTGATCCAATACATATTGTTTGTAATGGAGAAGTAAACTGGCTTCCATACTTCCCATACATTACTTCCCCATCTATCTCGTATGAACGCATATATCTGGAAGAACAGGACCAAGCAGAAAATCACGAGTAAAGCAATTGCTCGATCAAAATCACGGATGAGAGCTGCGATCATGTATCCTATATAGACTGGAAGAAGAAAATGTTTATTTATAAGTGATTCATTGTTTTGGGTAACGCATGATATTGGGTATTAAGTGGGAAAATATTAAAATACATATTTCATTACGTTCCAATCCTGATATAAACAAAACGAGTAACAGTTTTTTATGTAATCGCTACTATATGAGAAGTCACTTAAATCGTAAAGATTGGGATTTGGTAAACTGTAACTGATTACTGTCGAGACAAGAGTAGGCTACATGGTATATATATAGTTTTGCATCGTAGACGGTAATCAAATATCAAGAATATATAATCTTTTTACATATGCAACGGAAAAATGCGAAGAACAGTGCGTGCTCTAATATCTATAAATATGCGAAGTAAAGTTACAATTTGTCAAAATGTTAAAAGTAAGAAGGTAATGTATAGGAACAATGTAAAAATTTCTTACATAAGACTAAGACAATGGTGACAATTTTTTCTACAATCGCTTGATGCTTCGTCAAAAATCTTCCAATGTGCTGTAAAGGTGTCACTATGCATCTGAATAAAACAGAAATAATGTAAGTGAACAAATAATTCTATATTCTTCTAATAAATAAATTGGGCAAGTAAGTGCAATATTTGTTGACATTTTTATGTCATATTCACTCAAAACAAGGCTATTAAGTGAATACAATTTTTGTAACATATGATCTTTAAAAAGTTAAATTTCAATGGAATTTCTATGCAATTATAATAGGGCCGTATTTTCCATCACAATCTATACATGAGTGTACATATTGGAGTTCTCAAAGAAAGATACAGAACATTATAATTGTGGTCAGATTATTTTGTACGTCATCTGTTTGTCAGTGCACAGCGAGTATACATGCAGCATTGCTTCATGTATTGTTAGTTGTTGGGTAATCATTTGCTAGACCAACGAATACATTAGGATTTATATGCTTGTCAGAAATGATGTTACCGATACTGTTGGTTTCCAATAGAGCATTGTTGTCATCAATTAGATTGCTCAGCGACTCTCAGCAAGTGTTCGCAAAATTTGACGAACGATTTTATGTAAACATTTTCATCGTTATTCATTCATGGCTTGTAGTGAACAATTTCACATTTGTCATTTGCTAACAGTTCTTCACTTTCCAAATTTCCAAACAAACTTTACAGTATTGTAAAGTGGCACTCCGCTGCCTTTTGATCAAACAACGGAAATGTTTGCTGAATACTACCGCTAGCAATCATGTAGATAAACCATTGCTATTGTGTACTACGGAATCCTAAATGTTTGATATCAAAGCACTTCGTTCACAAAAGCATATAACACTTGCTGCGGTTTTATATCATTTATGCATTATAACTTAATAAAACAGCATACTAAGTGCCGTAAAGGCAACCCCAATCAGAATAGAGTCGACAAACCAATGAATAGAAAAGGCTTCTGAGATTCAGCTAAATATTCCTCAAAAATGTCGGTACAAACTAAAGTCTATGATTAAAAAGGCAGGTCGACGGCCACACGGGACCAAAAAAACGACAATTGTCTTTTAGATTCAAGGACTTGGAATGATAAATTCTTTAAATTAAGCGAGTGCTAGCAATCAGCAAAAAGGCGTGTTTAATGAAACATGCAAATGGCGATGAACAAAAAAGAACGTCTTTTGAATTAAAATTTTAAAGTCGTTATTAAATATACGTCGAAGTGTATATTATCAAAAAATATCACATTGGTTGCGTACTTAACAGCTTTATTTTCTTCATATTCAAGTTCCTCGCCAATGCCGTCGTTATCACATCGTTCCTGTCTGTCTTTTTCTCCTTCAGCTTGTCTCTCGCTGCTTATTGAATCAACGTCTTCATAATGTGAAGATTTTTCATTTGTGTTCCCACCGTATCCGTTTTTCTTCTTGTGTTTTCCTGTAGTTTCATCGCCCTGCGTTTATAAGTCAAGTATTTTGTCAAAATTCGAAAATCAAAATACAGAAATTCAATAGTAACTTAGCTAGCTCTCCACTAACTGTACAGAGATTTTTAGAGATAAGTGGCCCAGCGTTATCATTTGAACTTAAAAAAAAATCGCAGCGTTAGCCCGATAAAACTCTTGCTTGTAAATCTTTTAGTGGTACGGTAGGCCTACATCAAATGGAATCATCGTATAATGTCTAAAAAAATGTTTAATATTTTTCATTTCAAAAATAGAATATTCTAAATTTACAGTGTCGTGCTGCACAACAGTACCGACTTGTTTTAAATTATTACAACATCACCTGCATTATTTACCAAAGTATTACATAATCAGTTTGTTTGATATAACATTACAAGGGAATAAACACTTAATATATAGCGAAGAAGCAATCTTTTTTAGAATATGACATGGAGCAGTTGTTTTTGAAATGAATATTTTGACTTTACACAACGTAACAGAAATATATGGTTGATCTTGTCTAATTAAATTGGATAATCACTTCTGATTTTATCGAAGGTCTATCTTATATTCACATGTCATTGTTATTAAAAATCTGCCTTTTGTTACAGAACGAGAAAATCTCGAATTGTCTACACTGCTTGAAAATAAATAATACTGCATCACGACTTTCATTGAATATGAATATTCCCTTTCCACAAGTTATTTACTTTCATTTTAGCCCTGTCTCAAACAGTCAGATTTACATTTATCAAATTAAAACGAAATCGTGCTTTTCAATACAAATCAAAATCTGTCGATTGAGTTCGTCTAAGCCACAACTTAACTTATACCAACTTATAACTGAATCAAAGTCATGATTGTAAAATTCCAGAAAACATATTGCATTTTAAAGTATTTCAATCAAAGTGGTAAGCCTGGTCTGGTTCCATCTTAGGCTTAAAATCGGGACCTCCAGAAGTATGCGCACCAAGATGGCAACATGAACATGAACATAGTATGTGTGAACCGATTAGGATTCAGGTTGTGCGACATCTTGGTGCGCATACTTCTGGAGCACCCAAAATTGAGATTTTGATCAAAACTCTATCTCATGTTATGCGATAGATCACAAATAATGAATATATAAGACGGCAAAGATTCGTCCGCCATGGAGTTTAGACATATTTTTCAAGTATAGGAATTTAGTTTGTGCTTGTATTTTGACGTTGAATTACCAAAATTTTGAGTCGCCAGTAACTCTCACTTTCATTGTTCTCAAACAAATATGGTAAACAGAATGGGTGAATAGTTATAGAAGAAAAATTTCCAAATAGATTCCAAAACATATGACACTGCTGAGTTAACTCTGACTAAAATACTTATGTCGATAATATACTTTTGCTCATCCACTCCCACTTATATTCAACACTCGAACCCCACAAATACTTACTTCAAAAGTAGGGTTGTAATGCCCATCTATTCCGCTTTCAACTCCGATATCCGGTTCTTTGAAACTCGAAAATGACGTCATATTGGATGCGTGTATCACTTAAAACATTACTAATGGAACTGCAGATACATAAAAATCTACACAATGAAAATAAATATTCAAAATTAGAATAAAAATGTCGTTCAGTTGCGTGGTTTATATATTTTAAACATTTTACAGCTATACAATGATTCACTTATTATTTATTCAATACTTTTGATGATTCATTCACATATGGTGATTTCAGTGACAGATACGTTATTTTCAAATAGTTTGCTACGTTCCAATTCCGAGTTGAGATGTGTTTGCCATTAGACTCAACCCGTTATATATGTTTGACTTATCCACCACGATGTGACAAAACCCTTGACGCTCTTATAGCAAATAGATTTATTAAAATAGAGTGAACATATTTAAATTACTATTAGAATGTAAATGAATTACAAAAGCTGTGGTGTCATTTAAATTCAGAGTCTTTCTATTCTGCTCGATTAAACAATAACAAAGAAAATCTAAATTTTCCTAATTTTTTGATACGCTGTTTAATATAATCGCGTTTCTCACTAGAAGACTTACATAACTGAATGGATAACAGTGAGACTTAGCCGGTTACATACTGGGTGATACACAGTGGCCGTAGCCATAAAGATTAGAAAATTAAAATGTGATATTCTTATTTTCCGTATCGCGTATTTCTTTCACATACTAGAGAAAATGCAATTACGAGAAATTTTATTAAACGTCACTAAATTCCAAAAGTGCTTACCTGAGAAAGCAAACTTTTCAGAGCAAAGCTTGTAACAATGACTCTTACAAAGCACGAACGACGTACTCGACTGACGAATCTGATTCAATCACGTTTATTAATTTTCAGACAACTGTGCTGGCAATCGTCAATAGAGTAAACATTTACCATGCGTTATGCACAAAGTAAACACTCTCGTTGCTGTGTAATATTTGTGTGGGGAATCAACTACAAAAGTTTGTAACGCTGAACAGCGCAAATATGTCACCTATGATTAATATTTAGTATTACCTCCAAGTGCACCGCAAAGACAATGAAATATACTTATAAATCAAGTTGAAATCACAAGATAAAAGACAGGAAACTTTTGTAGAATATTATAATTTTGTCCGCAATCTAGTTGAAATTATCACATAGTCTCAAATAAGTTAGCCATTGGAGTTCCTACAGTATTTGTATTTTTAGTGCAACGCTGTCACTGATAATGATCTCTGGAAAATATTGTTTAGGTATTTATTTCGAACGAATGCCCGAACAAATAGATTTGATATAGGGTATGAAATGAATACTTATTATACCAATAAAATCCCAATTATTATGGATTAGTTTGTTATACTGTACCGAAATAGAATTGGATAATCTGAAGAAAAACCAATAACCACTAAGTGGTACTTAGTATAAATGCGATCTGAATTGTTTTTGTGAGTATGGTTGGGGAAGATATTTACTTAAACAGAGAAGACAAAGTATAAGGGGATTATCAGCGTCATTATAGTGTACATATAGCCCACATTAAGTCTCGCAATTTAGACGCATGGTTAATGATAGATCACTTCCTTTCATTTATGTTGTATTATATATGTTATCGAATCAAAAGTATTATTAGTCTAATTTTTCTAAACAAATGCCATATATACTAAAGCGCCAAAAATAGTTATTAATTAGAAGCGACTTTGTGTATAGGTATACCTATAATACGCTAAACGACACATGAGAAGATGGGGAATAGACCAAGCGAACAGATTTGTGAAAAACATTCACATGTTTGCACATCTTCCGCCATAAATGCTAATTTTGATGTAATAGACAAAATACAGAATTTTGCTCCGCACTATACTCACGTAACATGAAAAAATAGCTGCTCATGTTTCTAGCGCTTTTTTTTTGCGAAATATTTTACAAAAAAAAAATCCTGTTTTTACGTTTTTTCTAAACGACCACGATTTTAAAAACATCATAAATGAAACGTATGTTCAATATTTTATATTTAAAAGGCATTAAAGATTAAATGAAAACAATCATATTTATGCATAAATTGAGATATAATATTCATATCATAAAACTGTTGAAAAACGAATGAACATATAAAAAAGATAAGATGAAAAAAAACGGAAGAAAGAGGAAACATATTTAGAATTTTTAGAAAAAAATCCATGTCTCCAATGAATGTAATATGTTTGCGGAGTTCTGTACTGTATAACTGAATTCACAGAGTTCACCCAATTCGTTTTAATTTAGATTTATAAGAAAAATAACATTGTGTTATTAGTAACCCCATTGCAAGTTCATGCTACCTTTCTCTAAAAGTTTTCCATTGCTTATATTTTGGCATGTCTCTCATTTAAGCAAATATTCAAAGTGTGAGAAATTCATTTCCCAATATATGACAAAATAATTCATGTATTCTCGCGTACTCCAGCACGTGACTTGTTGCGAACAAGATTTACGGGTAATCAAAAATTGAGCAAAGAAACTTTTGAAGTCTTTAACTACAGTGATCCATCAGCCGATACCTTGTCACCGTACACACAGTGTGTGTAATGTTTTCCTGGTAACAGGTGAAAGTTAATATAGTTTTGTTTGTTACTTAATATTCGCATGAAAGAACTTGGTCACATGATGTCAGATTTGTGAATTCATCTGTCCATGGAAATTGACAGCAACGACAAGCATCGTCGGATGTTGAATTACTGAAATGAAAATACGAGTACAATAATTAAACACCTGCACATTTTTTTGACACATTCGATTCGAGATCAACAAGATTCTAACGGGTTTGATTTATGCATTTATTTGTTGATTACATTTGGTTAGGTTTTGTTTTGAATCATTTTACATGCAAATTCGGCTTGAAATTTTTTTTCCTGTCATAGAAAAAATAATTGGTTTAGAAATTGATTTCTTCGGAAGTTTACCTGATAATCATTGTTGTGCAACATTGATAAACATTATTAAGATCTGTCCCATTCCAAAATTCATAGGAGAAAATCCGATCACAATCTGGGATAGGTGGAAGATACAGAAAACCTAAAAAGAGTATCTCAAGTTAAGATATTGCTTCACGTTTGATCAGTCTGTAAAACATTGATCTGTATTAATTGCAAACGGAGAAACTGAAAGAGGTGTTTTAGGAAGAAAGTTATTGTAAATAAATATTCTAATTATGTTACAATTTTGGCAGAAAATGTGATCTTTTCGACCAACACGATTCTTGACAAACTTTTTTTTTTGTCTAAACTCTAAAGAATATGAAAAGTTTGACCCAAAAGAGTTGAAATAAATTAAAAGTTTGAAATAATGCAGCCGTAAGAGCTGGCACTATTGACTAGTATGAATTAAAGACACCCGAGAAAGACACTGAGAAATAAAACACTAAAAGATAAGGAATGTAATTTCAAGTAAGAATTTTTTTCTTCTGAGCGTATTAGTAAGATATTGAAGGTTCTGAATTCTGACTATAACTTTAGAACTTCATTTCACCGAGAGCAATTTGCTGTTTTTTATATTTAGTATCACATTTGAATGCGATCTATTACGTTAATAAAAATGTTTCGAAATAAACTCACCAGCGACACAAGCATTCAATATACTGACAAATATTCCTCCCATCAAAGCTCTGATGATAATTTTTGACATTTCACTCTGACGATTCGGACACAACGATCCTGCAGAAGCAAATAAAATTTTAGTTTTTGTAAAACCCTAGTAAGCCCACAGATTACAACATAAAGGGCTAATTTATTGCACAAAAAGTGCACCTATGGATTGTTTCGTTAAATTGTTGTTATTGTATTCTTGATATTCCGTTGTTGTTGTTGTTTTTAGGGTTCCTGCGATCTCATTTTAGCGATCTCGTGGTAAGCGAAGTCCGTAGTTTTTTGATAAGGTGGACAACCGGTACTACTTCGTATTAGTTTCCATCATATAATTAGGAATTAGTCTCTTTTTCACCATGCCAATCAACTCAGTCTAGTGTTTTTTTTTTCTAATTGTGAATTCGATCTATTCGTACTTTCACACATTTTTTGGTTTTTATTCATAAATTCTTACTAACTCTATTTATTTCGCGTATACTCAAAAACACATATAATCTTCACTCGCATTTCGAGTTAAACTTCAGAATATAAATCAACATACCCAGTCCACCCAACATAATTCCTAAAGATCCAACATTCGCGAATCCACATAGAGCATAAGTTATAATAGCTTCTGATCTGTCACTGATCCAGTTAACGGTTCCGTTTATATTCTGACGTGGAAAGGTCCCATTTTGTTTATTCTGTATCATACGTGAGAGTTCTTCATAGGCAATGAATTCATTTAAAAATATCTTAGTTCCGAGTAATTCAGCACACTGTAAACACATGTGAAAATATGTAGCAATTAGGGAAATTTTTGATCCACTTTTTTCATCTGTGATAAAATATGACGACTTGTGTTTGTATAAATTTTGTATTCTCCAGTGTTCGAGAGTAACAAATTTTTTGAACGTTACTCGTACTTGTAGATGTGGTGTATAAGTTTGTTTGTGACAAGAGGCGTGAGCAAAAAGTTTGGTTATGTACCACTTCGTCGCAGGTAACAATGTTCAAACCCAAATGTTAATGTTAAATAGGTTAATTTCAAAAATATAAAATTTTCAGTTGCTTCCTGTTCGCCTGAATTTCACTGAAATATAAAGTCTACATGCGCAGTATGGGCCATAACCTGTATTTTATTACATTATTTTAGGTTAATTCAATTAGAATAAGACTAGAAAATCGAAGTGCATTAAAATAATACTATTGTATACTGTGATTTCGTTTATTAAAGCATTTCAAAAGAGCCTACGATTAAGGAATGTTTACCTTGAAGCAGTCTTGCCATTCAATACCTGTCATATAGGTAATCGGAAGGAATACATAGGAGCATATGAGCTGTGAATGAAAAAAATAAAAACGTATAAATTAGGCTACATAGATATCGATACTGAAATATTGAATCAATGAGAAAATGTGGTTACAATGCCGATCAGCCAATGTCAATTGAAGAATTATTTGCATGATATTCCTGTAGTTCTTATTGCAACTTTACTCATAAGAAATGAAATGGACGATTAATTTGAGGGAAAATGAAATAGCTGTGGCTTGGTAGCCAGTGATCATGCCGGTTACATGTGTATAGTCAGTCCTCAAAGAGTACAGATTATTCTTTCTATCCCCTCAGTGGACATTTACTCTACCTCTCCCCAAAAAAATAAAAAAGAATGAAAAATGAAGCAGGATTTTTTTTTTTCAATTATTCAAACAGAAACTAGATCGAAGCAAACTCACTTCGAAGCTTAATTGAGGGTAGTCAAGCATTCCTCCAAACCAACCTAATCCAGCATTCAATGCAGCGAGCAAAGATAGGAATGCAATAATATTAGCTGCAATATTTAATACGAGTGGTAGTGCTAGGGTTGCACCTTCAAATGCAGCTTCAATAACATTCTTCTGTTTACTAATAAAAACAAAAACGGTTTATGAAAATTACTGCAATTCAATGCACAAAGGTTTATTGTAATAAGAAAATTACATTGAGACACATAAAAGTTTATTGAAGCCTACCAAGTCATTCTACTGCAGTTATTTTAGTTGTATTTCTCAGCAACTGCCAAGATGTTGTGTAATAAACTTACTTGTATTGGGTACTTAATTTAAACGAAGATGACCCACAAGAACCTGAAACAAGTCCCGAAAATAGCAATAATTCATTGTAAATATTGTATTCAAATAAAAATAGACTACTGCCGATTTTTAATATCTGGTACTTTTGGTTCGTACCGGTTCAAACACTATTTATTCATTGTACATGTTATGCTTTTCTTTCAATGTCTGTTGATCTTGGGCCCGGGCTTCTGAATTTATATTACAATAATTATTTCCACATTCAGAATTAACAATAACAAATAATTTGAACCATTTTCCCCAAATCAGCTTGATATTGATTCTAACTTACGTTGTTTCGAGTTTTAATCCTGACAATGACATAAACTTTGACTTCTTAGTTTCTGGATATATCAGTTTTGCAACACCTAGAGCACATGGAGCGGCCATTACACAGGCTGTTATCACATATACTGGTTTGATCTGTAAAATATGCAGTTCGGGAAGTTAGGAAAGAGTACAAAAACACCGACTAGTTGTCCTTGTCGAAAACGACCCAGTATATGTATGTCGGTAATTACCATGTACACCGTGCGTACTAAAAGTACCGTATGCATTATAAGTGACTGGTAGTAGCCTACCGTGTTCACCGTAAGTATGTGTATAGTGACTATTGTATGCTCGACCGTATGTATTAATAATAAACTAGTAGTAACGTAAGTACTGAATACACCGTAAGTACCGCACATACCGTAATTTCCGTGTTGAGTAAGTTAAGTACTGTAAGGACCGTACCTTGAGTAGTATATATAATAACACTGACAGTGAAGTAATGTACAAAACCATCCGTTCTTACCTTAAATTCCAAATACGCCCCTAGCACGCTTCCAGCAATAGTTCCAAAACCAGCGACCATGACTGCATGCATTTCCGATGTTGTAATATCTTTAATGTAGGGACGAATCAGCAATGGAGATTCAGTTAATCCCACAAATATATTACCTGTAAAAAGTTAATCCGATGTCTTATCAAACTCATTTTATGTAAAAGAGAAGTATACGATATTACGATTATTCAAGCCTCATGCTTGTAAAAGATGCTATACAAGTGGCCATCGATATCTTACGATATGTGAGGGGCTACTATTTTTCGAAGAATCCTTCCGTTACGGCCTGGATGAAGTGATGGCCATGTGAGTTTTACCGAGTGTAACATGCGATACCAACACAGTTGTTGCTCAAGGCAAGTTCACGACTCACGAGCCATAACAAAGTAGTCAAAAATTCTTTCGGATTCACCGCAAAAAAGTTCAAAAGTTCTCTGAAAGTTCAGAGTCAATGCTACCGCTGTTGTGAATTAGAAAGGTCAGTGTAGTGATGTTGAATACATCTGCGTCAATTTTCTCAAATCTTAGATGACTGTTGTGTGCCCATCGCATATTAGAGGTTAAGCGATGTCACATAAATGATTCGTACGGTACTCACCGCCAAAAACAGTAGATTCTCAACACTAAAATTTCACTTTTTTAAATTAGATATTTGAACCTTGGGTGTCGCTTCTCAATATCCAGCTTCGGTTCCCCGCGACTTCCCTTGCCCAGTAAAACTGTAATTTTCATTTTTTTTCTCGTATTTTCTGTGTTCATTTTTTTTTATTTACTGGTTGGAAAAAAATGACTTGATTGACTATGTTATACCTGCAGCACACATAGATTCGGATGCAGATGTCCCCAATGAAAGTTGCATCAACCACGCAAGTTTGCAGATTAACCATTGCATCGCACCAAGATAATATAGAACTGATATAAAAGCGCTGAAGTATATGATGATTGGAAGAACCTGGTTTATAAAATAGAACAATATACAATGAGTTAATGTATCATACAGTATTAAGACGAGATTGTATAAGCTTAGCAAATTTGTTCGTCGGGCTGATTTTTGTTCATAATTGATTTATGTCAAAATGTTGTGTGTCCATATTACCAGCAACAGCAAGTTCATTAGTTACATGTGATTCACAATAAAATTACAAACCAGTTTGAAATTTACTATCTGACACCAGCACCGCAGTTTTTGAATCGCAGACACATACGTGACTGTGTGGTCGCTACTTAATCCTCAATAACTTTGATTTTTTTCACGATTTTGCTACAGCAAAGCAATACTGACAGTTTGCAAAAATATGATGAATTATCGCAAAATTCCTTTTTCATCATCGTTGCTTTCAAAACAGTCTCAATATCACATCAGTTATTTCTAATTAACTTGTTACACAACAAACCTTTAACCCCCATAATCTTGAAAATATATTTGGACCGAACTTACAAATTTATAATCCATTCGCCAAAATAAAAATAAAAACATTTCATAATGCACTGTATCTTTAAATCTTTGTAATTGGAACTTTAAAAAATTTGGATGGAATTTTTTAAAGGTCCAATTATAGAGATTTAAAAATATTGTGCATTGTAGAATAATTTTTTGATTTCGGCAATTTTTTATGGATAGACATTATAAACAAACTGGTTAAATCTGGCATACATACCTTGAAAGCAAAATAGAAGTCGGTGTAATTTTTACCGAAAACAAACGAACTTCCTTTGTTGACGAAATTCAGGAAAGTTTGTGCAATTTCTCCAAGCCAATTAAAAGCTTCGAACCCTGCTTTTGTTCTGAGAATTATAAGTCCAAGAACTATTTGAATTCCAAGCCCCCAAAATACTGGCCTCCATCGCACCTGTACAATATTATTATACAAAATATTAGTTCGAAATATGAATATGCTGAAAAAATTCCTAATATAGTGGTGTGGTAACGAGTTTGTATAGTAAAATATTGGTTACTTTTAATATAGATACTTTTAAGGCTTAAAAATGTGAATACTCGCATTGTCTCCAGGGTATAAACTAAACAGTTGTCATGAAATATTTCTCACAGTGAAATACAATTTTATTCAGCCATTAAGTGTCAAAAATCTAAACGACAACTATAGTACAACCACACAAAAATTCTTTCACGCTGTTACCATACCACCTGGACAATTGGACATATCGTAATTTTTTTGTTTTTCGTGCTGTAAATAAATCGGCATTCAAAACAAAATGTGTTGATTAAAAGAACATTCAAAATCGAATTTTAAAACAACACATTGGGAAGTATTCTCCCTCCTCGCATTTCTTAAAATGTCGATTCATCTATGTAGGTATTATAAGTTCATTCCAACTCACCCGATGCGGGTATTTCGAAGACACAAATAAGCAGAAAACAAAAATGACGTAACCAGCTAATGAGATTAGTTGATTTGGTCTCTTCGAAGTGTCAAGAGCTATCCAAGTAGCAAAGAGAGCTATCAATATTGAAATGAAAACCCTGGAAAAGTTAAATAAAAGATGTTCTTATTTTTTTAAAAATGGGAAAAGCTTACAAATCAGCAACTGCAATGAAATGAAAAATTTGTTCAACAACATAAGACATGCCCACATGCAGGGATTATCAAGCAACTTACAGCATTGCAGCTCAAAAAAAGCACGAAACAACAACAAACTCAATTAGCGATACTGCCAAATATTGGCACGCGTATTGCTGCAATTTACAATTTTCTCACATTTGGAAATACTAAAATTGAGAATGATTTTGCTTGAATTAAACGTTTAATGTAAATCAATAAAGCCATGATTCCAGAGCATAGCAACGATTATGTGAAAGTAAAATAAATGTTGAGAAATTCTTTTCTTATCGTATTTGGCATTATATTTCCGAATATAAAGCAATTTGACCGTGATTAGCATTTGTGTTTCAGGTGATACTATGTATAACAAGACAAACATCAAATACCGCTATATCAATAGTGTATAATAAAATAGAAATTTTCCAGCTTTCAAACGTGTTAAACAATATTGAAAAGCGATACAGTGTAACACGATTGAACTCATAAGCATAATCTATCATCTTATTCTGTGGATACGCTCTGATTGCGGTTTACTAATTTAAAAACAAAACATTCACGGCTACGCTAGAAGGCTGATTGTGGTTAAACCGGGTATAAATACAATAACACGAATTTAAAAAAACTTCTTACTCATGTCATTAAATTGCAACAATGTAACTTCAAAAGTTTTAAGAAATTATACAACGATATTTTGAATATCCCTCATCATAAAATCAACTTGAAAGTTACAATATATATATATATATGTTCCCATTGCTATGCGTTGGTTGTTCGACTGCGAAATTAAAATGTGTAACTAGATTTGCTCAAAACTACATAAAAATCATATTATGGTACAAAATTCAAGACTTCGTCAAGCGATATCACATTTGATTTCACTCAAAAAATTTTAATTACCTCATATCTATAAACAAGCTTTTAAAGTTTAAATCGAATCTGATAGAATTCATTCTATATTTTCATTAAAAAACTCAGCTTACCATTTTATCCAAAACATATTTCTGCAAATGGCTTTGTATATTGGTTTCCAAACTTTCCATATTGCTTCTCCATAATAATATCGAAATAAGCCATATATTTTGAACGACAAAACTATGCAAAATATGACCAGTAATGGGAAAGATCTTTGAAAATTAATAACGAGAGCTGCAATCATGTAGGCAATGTAACCTGTAAAACAACACATAATAAACAAAATATTATGTTGGCTACACATTCCATACAGCCTGGATAATGGTCTCAAAACGGAAATGCATAGGCGGGGCTATAATGACACATTATATTCGATTCGTATTTTTGAGAAAATGGTTTAAACACCAGTCAAATAATATGATATGAGAATAGTATGCAATAAAAGTATTTGAACCATGTATAAACACAGTTTCGCGTAATTTGCTAACTGATTTAAGGCTGTGAATCTATCTGAAACGATGTTCAATGCTATCTTAGATTTTTCTCATTTCAGAATTGGTGTATAGCAAGCAGATAGGCGAGTGGAAAATTAGACAGTCAGGGCCGATGACCGAATTTCAAACTATTCGTTCACACCGGAAACTCGATAAATTTTTATCTCTATCAATACCATTGTTTATTCTCGAAAAATATTCTAATCCATTACCAAAATGAATACCAGGTGGACGTTGCAATTTTTTATTATGATAAATCCCAATTATGCGAATACATTCATATTATGTTCGATGTACATCAGCCTTCATAGACGCCTATATTTGTACCTCGATGACGATTATTCGTGGTTACTGAATTGATAGACACTTTACAATAAAAGCAACACGAAACTTGGATTAAATCATAAAATGAATAAGAAAAATTTACCTATAATCAGTATGACAATGATAATGTCATGAATAATCTTTTTGTGGTCTATGATAAATTTCGTTGCCGCTCGTATTGGCATGGCAATTCGTCTGGAATTTGAAATAATAAATAAAATTTCAATAAGTACACATTGACAACGTTAAATTACTTTATGTATGAAATGGTGATGCACTTCATAACAATTTTCTTTATCGGAAGCACTGGAATTTAAATGTAACCATCAGATGTACTTCAATACTATAAAATTGTATTGTCTTTTATTCTCTTTCTTATACCGTTTCTATCTAGCTTATTACGGTTCGACCTTTTGCAATTGATTGTCAAGGAAATAACAAAATATTACATTTGTCATTATATCAAAGTACGATAAAGCATACCTTCCACACGCGCTTCCGCCATCCTCACTTTCTGCATCGTTCTCGTCAGTATTAACAAGTCCATTCGTTTTCACAACTGGTTGCTCTTTTTCTGATTTTAGATTATTGCTCAATCCATTTTGTCCATTGTGTGCCGGTAGTTCGTCATTCTGTCATTACCATAGTATTTTTCATTACTTCAGTTTCTAAATAATATTTTCGCCAACTTCTCAATAAATTACGCTTTATTTCAGGCAAAAAAACCTCAAAAAGATGAATGACTTACTTCAAACGCGCCGTTGACATGATGTCCATTAGGTATTTCAATCGTATCCACTTCTATTTTTGTGTCGTTATTTGAAGTCATTTTCAAAGTATAAAACCCAATGCTAATAAATATAAATTGTTTTGTATTTATATCGATATTTATTGTAAACACGTTCTATTTTTATTTTTTACTAAGACTAAACATACAGTTCCCACTAATCTCACTGCTGTATGCCCAAATCACCTTGTTATGACGATTGTATCGCTCGCTTTACTCACATGTACTAAACTTTTAAAGTACACTACTTTTTCTTTAAACTGCTGGACAAACTCTTCAGTAGATATCAAGACAAACCCAAATGCATTATTAGTCAATGTGGACTTTATGCCAGGTAACCACCACGATTTAATATTCTGAGATATTTGAGATTACCAATGTTCTTGAATGATTGCAAAAAAAAATAGAAAATGGCAGAACAGAATATTCAAGTCGGTTCTAGGAAAATTCGCCGCAGGAAATTTCGTCGTAGGAAATCTCGCTGCAGAAAATTTCGCCACATAGAAAAAATCGCTACAAGAGCATTTTGCTGTAAACAAGTATTTTATATATTTTATTTAAAAAAGATTCGTTATTTAAGTGCATATACCCTAACCCTACAAGCTTAACTGTTTTTTCACAATTCTTGTTTTACAGCCAATTGCTCTTTCGGCGATTTTTCATGCGGCGAAATTTCTTGTGGAGAATTTTCCGGACACGAATAAAATCTTCACTTCAGCACTATCAACTTCATACTCTAACAGTACGACCGCACCTATATTTCGAAATTAAGCGATATTTTTTAAATAACCAATATATACCGGTTTTCGGTGCAAAGAGCAAAATCTTTTTTGTCAACAATCTAATAGCATTGTAAAGCGTTGAAATTGCTTTGGGGGAATTTCGTCATGAAATGACCCACGCTCGGTGAATTATCGCTAAGTGTTGTTCCGTTTTCAAGTAACTTCTTCAAACATATTCGATGTTTTGGTACTTACGTAAAAAAATTATCATAGACCGGTGATTCAGTTGACGTCATATCGAGTGTCAGATTTCTCTCTCGGCTGAACAAAACGTCTCGCGAAAACAACTTTTCGCAGAATTTAAAGTTTGAGAATAATCGGAATTTTCACCCAAACTCGCAATCCCAAATTTAAAGGTAAATTAAAAACTACTAAAATACAAACCATTTTCCTTTTAAAATAAACTTGGATGCATACCATCACGCTTTATAGAAAGAGGCAACGATTTTTTGAGATATTTATTACTTATGTTTTATTCCGTGTATCACTGATTCTGTTATTTTATTTGGAGGCTATGAAATAGAGGTATAACACTACTGACCTCGGGGGCAGTTTTTACACATCAAAACGTTCCAGCCAGTATTCGAAAACAGACGAATACTAAAACACGAATAATAACCCCAACTAACACGTAATCCTGGAATTTAAATTCGGCTTCCTATGTCATTGCTAATGTTAGTATTTTGATACAATGTGTATTTTGCAACGAAAATGTTAAATAGAAGATAAAATTATGCCTTTTAATATTGCAATCAAAAAATTGTCGGAGATCAGAAAATACATAAGTATTTATTGTTTTTATAGATGTTGCCTCCTGTTACATATTGGATTCAGTTAGAATGTAACTTGTCTTGTTTAATTCTTTTCATTCACAGTAATGTATGAAAGCTCAATGTTTCGGCTTTTGTATATATATATAGGGTTCTTGGTTATTGTATAGAAGTGCGAAATTGGATATATATAATATGCGTTCCAACAGCAACAGCTTTACTTTGCATTTTTCATAGCATACTGTTGAACCATAGTTTTCTGAATTATGGTTTTGCTATTGAATTTTGGAAAATCCTCAAGAATTTTGATAAAAATCTATCTAAAAAAAAGTGACAAGCACATGGTTACAATTATGATGTCATAATAAGCCTTCAAAAATTTGTGCTTTCAATTACGAAATTCTTGAATAAGCGTTTTAAGATTTAAATTTCGTTTGAAAATAAAGAATAGTAAGCATAGGTCAAAGACTCAGACCGAATCTTTCGAATCCGTTACGTTTTGACTTGAATCCGAATCTCGGCTGATCCCTAATAATAAGGAAAATTTAAAAACTTCCAAGAAACTCAAGGCTGTAATAAAACGCCATGGCGCCAGAAATATCGACGTCACAATACCCGTTTAGTCGCCTAATTTCTGATAAATAAAACATATTAATAAATAAATTATCTTTTTGAAATATACGGATTTACGATAAAAGAAAAGAATTGGAATATTCAAATCTATAACAATTCTTCGATTTGATTTACCCTAGATAAATTAATATGGCCATATCTCGATACTTTCTTATTATTTTTCAAAAAGTAGAGCATTGTAACTGTGAAAATATTTATTTAATTCACAATCTGGCCTTAATTTAAGCGTTAGTTTACCCCATATTTTCGTTTAAACGATAATACTATGAGACCAAAGCTTCCTGACTTTCTTGAGATCAGAGGTTTCTAACCTCATTGTGTGAGTTTGTCCCATCGCTCATTTTTTAACTCTTCTGTCCCCCTATGTATAAAAAAACTGCTTTATTTGTTCAATATTCAATTTTTTTTTTAGCTGGTGTTATGCACAAGTCGCACTTCTGCTTTTGTACAGTATAAGCAACTATCTTCATGATTTAGAATAGGCTTGACAAAATGAAACATTACTTATTACAACACATGCTAGTGCTATATAGTACAGCGTGGTCCAAGGATGTTGGCCTCGCGGCCCACACTATTATTTTTGTGTTGTTCGCGGGCTACAATACTGCCAAGAATTGGTAAATTGTGCAATACAAAACAAACACTTTTATATTGTTCAAACACATTGATCATTGTTTGTTATTTACCAAGCTAAAACCCACTAAAAACTCAATAAAACGTGCAAAACTCTTACTGTATCTACATTTAGTGTAAGATTTCAAACTCTCCATAACGGAGAAAGTGTCATAAGGAAACATACTGTTTTAGATTGTCACCGACACAACTTGCAGACATATTAAGCAAGCATTGTGATATTTTCCCTCCCATATCCAGTCAAAAATTTGTTGGTCAGCTTTCTTTTCAAACTCAAGTTAAAATTAACTAACAAATAACTGCAGATTAATTGATTAGCGAATTTCACCAAATTTGAGATCCAGGAGGGTAATTACTAAATTTTCTGACATATAGGCAGCAGTTTTTGTAACACTGTTTAGAATGGTTGCTAAAAACACCCGGGAATTTTATTGTTCGGTCATTGCATTAATATTTAGTTATCAGACATAGCCAACCTAGGCTAATAGATTTCTCATTCGATTTTTAGTTTATTATGAAGTTAATTTTGTTAGCATATATTCCCGACCAAAAAATAGAAAGCCAGTTAACAATTTAGACTGCCGAGCACATTATTCAACTTCGCCAATTGCCTCAGCTAACCATAACACTAGTCAATTCATTGACATTAGTGATGTAACAATATTTCGAAAGATTTTACTATAGGCATTTTTATGACGAAACAACACCAAATGCGATTTTTGTTCACTCTCGCGTCAATGCGACGCGGGCCACAGATAATGAAGCGGCGGGCCACATGTGGCCCGCGGGCCTGGGTTTGGAACACCTTGATATAGTATATATTACATGACGGTTTCATATGAAGGTAGGATATGGTCAGATTAGACCTATCAACAACCTATCAATATCAATAAATTTGCAACATTGCATGTTAATTAATAAAACACATTATTTACGGTATAGGTTTCATACGTCAGGAATCTTTGATGTATACATCAATTTTCCACCTGACATACACAGGTAAAATATTTATAAAGAAGTCCAGACTCTTCAAATTTTTCGTTTTTCTTCTTATTTTTTTCATTATATATATAATATTGGGAATAGATACATCATATACATATAAAATTAGTATTAGCATTTTACTTGATAATCAATTTAACTATCTTGTTTACCAAACAATGGAAGTTATTGGTACCCTGCTACGAGTTATAATTTGGTGTATTTCTTTATAGATCATTTGTCATCACAAACTTTGAATATACAGTTACAGCGTCTCGTGACTGGTTGATACTAAAATGAAAAATTTTCTAGGTGAGCACGGACATTTTCATTGCTCTTACAAATATTAACTTTGTCGTGCAACTCAGGGTTCATATCTTATTGAATAGTTTTCCAGTAAAAGGGTAAAATACATAATAAATACAAATACCTGTCGAACAATTTGAATGAGTGTCACAGTTCAAAACTTTTATTGTTAAATCATACATCAGTTGAAATAGATTCATCCAGTACGTTTGGATTGTGCGCTTTTGATTCTAAGGCAATGTGAAAATGAAAGAATGTTACGATTATGATACTTTTGGAACATGCAAATATGGATCCGAATGTTGGAAATATCACTCACCAGAACATGTTAATACAGAAATTTTTGCTGCTGTTATAAAGCGAGTTTGTGATGTTAAACGCAGTATAATTATTGAAAGAATTGGTGTTGAGAATTTAGAAACTTGTTTCCTGGAAAATACTCTCTGGCATCGAAGGGGTGCCGAAAATGGAGATATTGTGATATTCCAAAAATCACATAAAGTAAAAAGCACATATGACGAAGAGAATAATTGGAGACGACCACTTCAAATAGATCAATACAATATTGGTAGGATTGTTACAATATTGTCAAAATCTATCGGTGATAAAATCGTCACAGCTAAGTTTGAAATTGTTACAAATCAAGTACAAGCGTTTACCCTGGATTCTGAAGGAACGAAACGTCATGATGACGCTTTTAGTATCGAACAATGTCAAAAATGCAGAAATCCCGAATGCAATGAAATAGGAATACATATCATTGCTGATTTTACAAATTCAAATCCCTTACATTCAGCTGTGTATTCAAACGGTTTTGCAAAAAGAAATAATTTGTTGGCTCTATCGTTTTATTTTCATACAAATTGTTCTCAGAAAGTAAGCGCGCCAACATTCAATCTAGTACGAATTTCGGAAGAATATTCATTCATGCAATTTCCAAAAAAGAAGTTTGAAATTCT